TCTAGCTTAACTGTGTAACAATAGCTTTTAATGATATATCTAATAGAACAAAAAGCTGAAGTGGAAAATCCTATCGTTGAACCTAACCACATCACTGCTTTCTTCAAAATCCTGGAAATTAAATCTTATGACTTTTAATACTGAACTTTGAGTGAGGTCTCACTGTGAGAGTTTCTCACTACTGGAGTTTTCCTTTAACATGAAGCTTTTTATAGACGTGTCTGGTTTTCAGTTCCTTTTAACGCATTATGAAAGAAAACGACAAGCAGGCTATGCTAAGCAGGCATAGCAGTAGAGATTACATCATGTCATTAGTTACTTGAAGAATGTGGACATACTTCTGCCAAGCTGTACAACTATTTAGTTAAGAATTAAGTACAGCATCTTCTGAATGTTGTGCTACATTGCAATTAAAAAATCTAACAAGACATACCACTCAGAGGTGAAAATACCTCTCACAACAAAATTAAGGACTCTGAACGTAAAAGTGTTTTAATGTAATGTTGAACAATATAGGATGTCTTTGTCAATGTCTTTACTGTGAAGGATTATTAAAATGTCTTAGTAATAACAGTAAGACAGACACTGGTAAAAAATGATTTGCCTAATATAGTAACTTGACATTTTTGTAAGAGAGCAAGTAAGATGCACTAGGATTACACTATTAAGTATAGATGTGTCCTCTCTAAGAACACTACTACGAAAACACAGAAAGGTTGCTAGTCATACCAAATTCTTCAAAGTCTTCAATATGACATCCACTACCATGCCATTCAAGAAGCCTAAGTCCACTGAATTTTTCTCATATTATGAAGTTTTGCTCCTTATTAACCTCACATACTGACATCTGATCTTAACTTGTAGACTCTACAGCAGGAACAACTAAGGCTTAGTAAATCAATAGCTAGGATAATGCCACTTTGTGAAAGGCTCAAAAGAATGAGGAAAAACAGAACAGGCTGTGACTCATTAACCATAATAAGATATTTAGTTCAGAGAAGCAGCCAGATACACATTTTTGACACAAAAAAGCTCATATGGGTATTTATCACAAACTGCAGACCTCTGCAGAAAAACACAAGAGGAAGTAATTGTTCCTCAATTCTAAAGAGCTTAAATGTCTCTTCCAGAGATGCTTTTTCTCTCCTTAAGAACAACTCTTGTTAGTGAGAACAGCTGAAAGCTAAGCATATTTGGAAGTGCTTTTGCAAGCAAGAGACAGGAATTGATCACTGCAACTTAACTAGTCTTGATCCAAAAGAAAAGCTAGTTAACACTTCAAGCACTGCTGTATGTGGACTATTATTCCTCATATTTACATTATTTCAGAGAAAAGGTTACAGTCTTGAGTCCTCAAATCAACACTCATCTCAACACAAAAAAAAGAGAAGCTCCCTTCTCAGTCTCTCAACACACAAGAAACTTTATTTCTCCTCTAAAGGTCGAGCACTGAGCATCCTACAAAATGTAGCTCTGAGGCATATTCCACTGCACTCTGCTCAGCAGGAGGGAATAAAGGGGACAATCTGTGTCTATCCCTTTTGATTCAGCTGGAGCCTATACTGCTTTCTCTAAAAACGAAGTATGTCAGAATAACAGCTCTGAGTTACCGAACTCTGGAGTGACAAAGTGCAGTCAGTTCAAAGTCTCCCAGCAAACTGATAGAAAGCTGCATTTAGATCCAAGACTTCCAATCTGGCAGCAGCAGACTGCGTTTTGGAAAGCAGGGGGCAGAGGAATACAACAATTTCTCTCACACACACACTTGTCCTCCTGTAAGGAGTTAAGAGCCTGCATCCTGTGGATATTTTTCTGGTCCACCTATGCTTCCCCAGTCCCACTTGCCTTTCTGGGCCCACGGGCTCTCCTGCTGCCACCCTCACCAGGCCTCTCGCCGACCTGCGGCAGCCGAGTGCTGAGGAAACAGGAGTTATGCATCAGTTCTTTGGCAGCCTTGAATTACAAACTTAATTTTGCAAACTCCGAGGGATTATTCTCATAAAGAAATAAGAACATTCATCTTTATTTTATAATGCATTTCCCGCTACTGTTTCCGATGCAAAGGTCCTATTTGTCTCCGACTTGAGGCCAAAGAACAGAGCTGACTCTTCACCACCACCTCGTTTTCTCCTCTGCAGAGGATAATTGTTTCAAGGAGCAGCTCATCTTACCACTTTCAGCCTGTTACCTCTAACCAGTCACAGACCAACCTTCTAGTCAGTACCCACATATCTAGCAACCCACACATCTAGCATTCCTTTCTCTGCAGGAGGATGAAGATCTCAGCTCTAACTCTGAACTCCCACAGGTTTAAAAAAACTATTGGAACAGCTGTTAGCCCCCACCCATTTTTGTTTTGTTTGCCATTATTATTGCTGCACTGAGGTATCAAGTAGGAGCCATCCACAAACAAGCAGTGGAAGAGGCAACTCAGGTGCCAGTGAACCAAGAGGAACATGTTTAGAGGAAAAAATATTAACCACAGAAGGTATAAAGTTCTCCAAACAGGTAGGAAATCTTCCTCCATACATCAACAAGCTGTACTTGCATGAGGCCCTCCCCTGAACCTCAACAGCCAAATTGTTTAACTAGTGAAGTACATGATTTTAACCACTGGTCTTTTGATACTACATAATGAATGCACTATGCACAAAACAGATTTATATTTAATAATCTACTTATGTCTATTAAATTATAACAAGAATTAAAACAAGTTCAAGCATGTTTCAGAAACATCACAGCACTTTGCAAACATTTTTCAAAGTACTGACACAGGAAGAATATCCTCTTAATATCTGTTATAATTAAGTCTTTCCATAGGAGGGGGAAAGGCATTTCTTCTCCTACCCATTATATTGCTTTATCATTAAGGACTTCTATACTTCATCCAGATACTTTTTGCTGGACAAGACATTTTCAGCCAGTCAGCACCTTGTTTGAAATTGGTAGCGAGATAGTAGCTTTCAGAACAGCAGGGCTATCCAACAAGCTACAACTGAGTTTTATGAGTTTCCCCAATCAGCCTGAACTGGATAATTGCACACAGCCTAACTTAATTTAGAACTAATCTAATGAGCAGTCTCTTTCTTCCCCCCATGGTACATCTGAAGAGGCACTTAGGCATTATTTGATGCAGATTATGGATGCTGCCACCTTCAGGTTTAAGCAGTCACGTGTTCCTGAAATAACCTGACTCCCCCAGCTAGGTTTACAGAAGCAGTTTCAGAGTTGTGCTGTGCTGCAAATAACAGCAACTTCAGTGATGTGCAGCAGACTCTTAAATACAGCTGCTATATATAAATAACATAATTTAGTTAGCAATAAGCTTAACACTCTCAAGTCACATAAGACTCCAGATTCAAACCAAGGGCTAATCCCTTTTCCACCTGACAAAATGATTAAGCAATTACAAGACTTTGCTTACAAGAAGGTCAAAATCATCCCTTGTTTCTTCATTCCTAACAGGAAACAACTTTTATGAAGTTATTTTTTGTTGTTTTTTCTCCTAGACTAACACAACATACAAACTGGTAGAGAGCTACTCAGTTTACTCCCTAGTAACTTGGCAACCCCTGGAAGTTAGGAAGCAGCTTGTTTCACAAGTCGCAAACTCACAGCAGAAGCTGCAAGCGGCTTACCAGGGCAAAGGCAGAGGCGAGCGGAGGAGCTGGGGGAAGGTGCGAGGCACCAGACGCGGGAGGAGGGAGCTGCTGGGATGGCCCCGGGCTCGGCAGCACGAAGCCGCTTGCCCCAGCCCCACACTCGCTGCAACCCTCCTTGCCCACAGCTCAGCTCCCTCGTGGGGAGTGCCAAGGGAACGGGTTTCTCTCACCCTTCTGGGGTATCTGCACCTTTGTCCCGTTACTGCCCTGGCAGCAAGCCACTCAGCTATCCCTGGAAACATATGCAGTAGCATACACTGTAATGATAAAGCTTTCCAAAAGTTGTCTTCGCTAAAGACATACCCTGTGCTGGAAAGACGACACAGTTTAGTCTGCCAGGCAGCATTCAGAAATCCCAACTCCGCCTGTTTTTCGGGTGCACTCGTGCCCTGGGAACACACACACCCCCCACGCGGGGTACTCACACGCAGGGGGGCCGCCTGAAAACGCAAAGCGGCGTTTTGGGCGGCACGAGCGCTGCGCGTTTCCTGCGCGGGGGCCGGCACCCCGCGGCGCCGCAGGAGGAGCCGCCCGCCCCGTGCCGTCCCGTCCCGCCCGCGGCCC